CCCCCGCCGCCCCCCGGGAGGGCTTGAGGGGAAAGGCCCGAGGAAGGGCGGGGTGGTGAGGAGACGGCTTGCGCGGGAGGCGGCTCCGGGGGCGGCGGAGGGTGGTCCGCGGGGAGGTGGTGGGTTCGGAGCCTCCGGGAAGGGTCGTTGCGGGGGGGAGAGGGCGGCCGGGGCTGTGCTGTCACCGGGGGGAGCGGGTCTCTGAACGGGAGAGCCGGTGGTGGGCGAGGGGCGGAACGAAGCCCCTTCAGCCGGGCACGGCCGGAGCTTTCGCTTCCTCACCCCGTCTCTGCTCCCCTTGCCAAGGTCCAGCTGCTGCACCCGGGGCTTTCAGCTGGTAGCAAAAAGAGCGTGGTGTCAAGCCCCCCGCATTTTATATTGGCAGCCGTAGAACAGGGGTGCGGCGCCAGAAATTTGCAGAGGAACTGGCAAATGCGACTAGAAATCTGTGCCTGCTCCTTCTGAGCCCGCACGGCACAGGAGGCAGCCGTGGCAATGAGAGCAGAACTTCAGGCAGAGTGTCACCCTAATAAATCTTCACGAGCCGGGAGCAGGAGATTTGTGAAAGGGAGGAATTGAGTGATGCTCCTGCTAAATGCTGGGCAGGCTGCCCTCATCTCTGGCTGGGGCATCGCAGGAGGTGGATGAGGCAGAAGTTGTTGCACACATTGAAAACGAGAAGTAAGAGCGCTTGCAGCTGCAGGGTGACTCGAGCCAGTGCCTGTGCAAGTCACTGGCCGTATCAACTCTAGGGCAAGATGCGCAGAGTTAGAACTGCCTTGAAGCAGTCTAAAGCTGGCACTTTGCAACTTGTCACAGAGCCAGCTGATGCGATTTCTCAGCTCTTCGTCTCTGCATCTAAATATCTATAGGTTCTTGGTGGTATATTTCAAATAAATACTTTAATTGGGGCTAGTTCAGGCCCTCAGAGAATAGGTTAGGGAAGTTGTGTGCTTTTCTTTAACTTTCATCTCGGGGGAGGTGGTCACTACTGTGCTTCAGTCTTTGGGGTTGTGGTTGAGCTGCACATGCATTGATACCTTTGGGACGTTGTGACTCCTGTGCCTCACAGATAATGAGAATCTAATCCTTGTCTTTTGTTCCGTCAGGTGTCTGCAAAGCTCTTTGCCTGGAAATTAAAGTCAGTCCTAAAGTGCGAGCTTTTGTTGGTGAACAAGTGACACTGAAATGCTCATTCAAATCCAGTTCTCCCATCACTGAGAGCCTGACAATAGACTGGACCTACCGGCCTTTCACAAGCGGTCAGATGGAGACAGTAAGTGGAACAGGGAGCCTTTTTCTGGTGGAGACTGGCCAGGCCTCTGTGCATGCACAAAATCTGATGATATTTTTTTCTGTTTGCCTTGCTGTGTTTCTTCATCACTTTGGGGTTTGGGAGTCTCATCGTTGCCTTGTGAAATTGCTTTTGTTTGGGCAAAAATATTTTACGTACGTGTGTAACAGCATGATGACGATGAAGTAGATAAATTTTGGGTTTTGACACAAGTGCCGCATTGTACACTGTAGCTGTGTATAGAATGACTAAAGCATTTGGTAGCTTTCTTCAGGGCAGCTGCACCCTGGCAGTTCTGTTGTCTGCTGCTGATATACCTCAGAGTGGTAAGAACATGTGGGCAGTAACAGTCTGAAGACAGTGATGACGACAGCTTCTAGGGTTTATGGACTGCTACTTGCTGGTTTTGTTGGCAGCATTTGTAAATCTAAGCATAAAAAGGTAAGTCCACTGGAAATCTCTCATTCAAGGTGGAAACAGGAAATGCACATCTTCATGGATTATCAGTGACTTCTGCTGCCTGAAGTGTTTGAACTCTTAGGAGTGTCCATGTACCTGGAACAAAAGGGTGCCGCTCCTGTGAAGCGAGGTCTGCTCAGTCTCTACTTGTACGACAGAAAGGGCAAAAGTGCAAGAACCCAAACCTGAAGAACTGCAGTGTTCTGCCTTGCATGAGGCAAGGAGCCTGCTCTGCTTCTCCACTGAAAATCTGCAGAAGGGAGTGAGTTGGTCAGAATGGTGATGATGACATCTGAGAGCTTGAGGCTGGTAGATAAAAGTGTTGGAGATCTAATGAAATGGGATTGACTTAAAATTATTGAGTAGGAACTTGAAAAAGTCTCCTGCATAAGAAGTATTTTTACTGATATCTTAATATGTATTCCTTTCTGTTTAGAATCTAAACAGTAGTTTAGTTTCCTCTCTAAGACAAGTGTTTTATTGGCTCAATTATTGTCTTTGCCTCCTTTTAGATTTTTCATTACCAGTCTGTTCCATACCCAACAACAGTGGGAAAGTTCAAAGAGAGGATATCCTGGGTTGGGAACGTTGCCAGGGGCGATGCTTCCATTGCTATCCAAAGCCCGGTGATGAGTGACAACGGGACATTCATCTGCAGTGTGAGGAACCCTCCAGACGCGTACCATAACATTCCCCAGACGATGCTGGTGGTTGTGGAGAGAGGTAAGGGCTCCATTTCAATGGCAGGTCCTCATTTATGTGACACAGCTGCATCGCAGATTGGTTAGGATCTAAGAGTCTGAGCATCACCTGCGAAATGAGTTCCCTGGAGCGCCACGTTAGAATTTCAGGAAGAGTTACCTCAGCCCGTCTTTCTGAGCTAAACACCTTGAGAACCGTTGAATTTATTGTGGGGAGGAAGCTGCGGTGATAACAGAAATCAAAAGTGTGCATATGTTCAGGAGTTCCTGTCTCCACATATCACAGCAGTAGAACAAGTTAAACATTTAGGAAATAGTGGTTTAAAATAGCTGTTGTGCCACAAACACTGATTCTCAGTAATACTTAGTTTCCTTGTCTGCCCTGCGTGTGAGACCCGCCCCGAATTTGCAGCTTAGACATGCTGAAAGAACTATGTTGTGACCTGCCTTCAGATTAGTTGCTGGGTAAACAAAGGGAAACTATTTCAGAAGTTACATTATTGGGAGACTGAAAAACTCTACCTTCTGCAATAAGGATTCAAGCAGAGTGAAATACATTTTTACTTTTCTTCTAACTATTCCTCAAGTTCATCAACTGAGTATTTGTCATGTGAGTAGTGGGATGTAAACATTTCTTTAAATGTAAAATTATGTAGTGTTTTGCGTCCATGTTATCAAACATTCTGGGTTGTTAGATCATCACTTCAAATCATATCCTTGATCATCCTATCTATAACCTCTGATTTGCTTAAGAGTTTATCCTCATGCTCTCATTCTTTGATTTTTTTTTTTTTGTTTTTTTTTTTTTTTTTTTTTTTCATATAAAGCATCCTACTGTGTTGGATTTGTGATAGGAATCCAACAGATTCAGCGACAAGCTGTTTTGGATCTGCCAGCTCTGTGCTTTATGTGAAAAGACTGGCAGCCTGTGTCATGGATGAACATTCCTCATGGAGACTTAAAAAAGCCGTATTTTCCTACTAGTCCAGCTGGGCTGCTCTTTGTCTTTCCTGCAGGCTTTTCCTTCCAGCTGACTTCAGCGACGCTGCTCTCCATTTTAGTGTTTCTCCCTTCTGTCATCGTGGTCGTTCTGCTGTTGGTAAGGATGGGAAGAAAAATTGGAGTGCTAAAGGAGAAAAAGAAGTCCGGCTGTAAGAAATCTTCCATCGAAGTGTCTGATGAGTAAGTTCTGGCTGGAACCTAAAGCCTGTATTTCTGCTTTGGCCTGTTGAGACAGGCCAAAGGACAGTTTCTCCACTGTTCTTCATTTCATAGCTCTCAGCATCTGCAGTTCAGTCACTGAAATCTACTTCTCCATAAGTATAATTTAGCCAGCGGTCGGAAAGCTTTGGAAAATCCCCAAGTTGGAGCACGAAGCAAGTGCTGTACATTCCCCTTTTTGTGTGAGGCCGGGGAACCAAAGCAGTTAAACTGTCTTTCACTTCTGCAATCAGATTTATTTCAGTCTAAATCAGCAAGATATTTTGCTTATGTGGGCTTTATGTTGTGTTTTGGTATGAAGTATCCATAACAATAAAAGAAACTGAATAATGGTAACGGGCTCCCCTGTGATGGCCTGGGTGAAGGTGGCAGGTACTGAGTGAGCGTCACAGACTGAATTCCCTTCTGTTTGGGAAAGGTTCACTAGTGAGAACAAGAAGGTAACGCTGCTACTGCTGGAGCTGTACCTGTTTTTACAATGAATTCAGTACTATGATGTCTTGCAGAATGGGTTTTTAATACAATGCTCTTATTAGTGTTGTAAGACTTGCCAGCCAAATAGTGACTCTTCTTGTATTCCTCACGGCACTGAAGTCAAATGTCTGCCTTCGGAATAAGGGACCTGACATTCTTTAATCTTATTGGTTTCACTTTGCAGAGTCAAGGGCTTTTCCCCATGATGAAAAGCCTTCAGTTCAGTGTGATAGAACTAGAATTCACAGTCCACAGGAGATACAAGTCCAGCTTAATCCTCTGCTTTTCCTACAGGCCTGAATGTACAGAGAGAGACAACTGCTTGGGGAAACTCAGAAACTGGTGCCTGAATTGTGTGGTAAGTGAAAGTTGGTGTTTTCATAAGTGGTTTTGTCAAGTTTGGTGCTCAGAAGAGGTGCTAAGAGCAGCGGGCAGAGCTTGTCGTGACACCTCTGCATGTCCGAGGAGTGTCCCAAACTGCCCGGCGTGTGCTCCTTAGTGTTTTCCACGTTCGGACTACAGGGGGTGTGAGCTGCTGGTCATGCTGCATTACTGGTAGGGGAAGTTGTCTTCAGATCTGCCAAAAGGATTTTTCTTTTGACTTTAGTGAAATCAAAGCTGATATTCTAAGATGAAAATTCAGAATTTAAGTGCTGGCTACCATGCTGCATGCTTTCGTTAAAGGCTGTGCGAGGGCAGTTTTGGGTTTGACAGTGCTGCAGTGGGGAATGGAAGCAGTGATACATCAGTCTACTCAGTTTCTTGCAAAGATGGTAGCGTGCAGCCTCGCCTCCTTTTTTGGAGGTCTTCCTACTTGCACTGCTTTGGTCACTACATAATGCTGCTGAACTCTTGTGGTTTGTTTGTTTCTGGCTTTTTGTTTGTTTTGTTGTGGTCATTGTCTTCTAATTGTGCATGTTGTCTTGCTACCCTGCCAGCCAGCTTCTGTTAATCAGATTTGTTGTGTTGGGACTACTGAGTGTCCCTATCCTCTGCTGTTACTTGTTTTGTAAAAGGTGCCTCTGCATTCTGTGAGCTGGCATGAGCAGCCACGGCCGTAAGCGTGGCACATTCCAGAGTAAGCTCACTAATATGCCTAATTTGAGAGTGTTTTCATTTTTTCCTGCTGTCCTGCAGAGCAAGGTTACCTCAAACACACCTTTACATCTTTCATACACAGTCAGGAAGTATGTTAAGGAGGATTTAAATATGGGTTGCTGGATTCACTATTCTAATGTCAGTGATTTAAAATGAAGTAAACAGGTGAGCCTTCAGACAGGTGTGTGCTGATGGTTTCTATGCTTTATTAGATACACAATGGAAACCGAGCAATTATTCAAGTGATGTGTGAAATATTTACAATTCTATGTAAGACATAGCAGTTACAAGGCAGCAGTATGGGAAAAAGAGAGTTTTGCCAGGTGTGGGAAGCAAAAAATGCTTCATGGAAAAGGGAGAGTTGCCATGGGAGATGGAAAGGCTGTTGCAAGTGACGTGGGAGAGCAGGGAGGCACCGTTGCTTTCCTGCAGGCAGAGAGATGGGAGAGGATGGGAGCCCCAGTTTGGTGAGACAAATGCTGCCAGACAGGTGGAGATGTTAAAAATTGAGAAGTGTCTTCTCATCCTTTGAGAGAAGGCAAATTTGAATGCTATAATCCTGCTGCTTTTGTATTGAGTATTTTGTCATCTGTTTGGTACTTTGCTCTAATCCTGAAATATTTAACTTACTGAAGCTCTGAGCATCCTGTCTCACTCACTTTAATGATTCTACATGTTTGAGGTTTCTGTACTGTACTTTTTCATGCTTAATGCGTTACCAAATAAGGAAAATTGCAAGGCCAGTGAAAAATCTGTTTGGATTTAAAGTGGTTGGGAAGTTGGGGAGGTTTTCCTTCTAGAGCTGTTACATTTGAGCTGCTTTTGAGTTGAGAGCAGCAGATTGTGGGGATGCCATCAATGATTACTGAGGTTAAAACAATAGATGATGGGGTATGGGGTTGGTTGTAGCTGAAAAATAACTTGTGCTGGTCCAGGCCTCCTCTGTAGGGACTGGTGGTGCTTTTTAAGAAGATGGCTGTTTATTGTTTGTCTTTTGCTTGAGCTTTAGCTGCTACTTCTATTAAAAGACAGTGGTAATTTATGTGTGTACCTGTGGTAAGTCAGATTTAGCCGCAAGTGCTCATACAGCAACAAGTCCTGTGGCTTCTTCAAGCTCGGCAGTGTTTTGGAAAGCATTTAAGCTCCTGTCAGAAGCCTGACTCCAAATCTCATTGAACTCATAACTTGGTTCATGTCTTCTACGTAGTCTCAATTTCTCTCTCCATGCTCCCCGTTTAGGACACGGATGAGGAAGACCCGTACTGATGATGGAAGACCAAAGCTATGGCTAAAGAACAAAATTACCGCACTGAAAATCGTGGCTGGATAGGAACAAAGGCTGCTGGATAACCAGGGCAGATTGAAGGATCTGCTCTAATCTTGGGAGATTGGAATAATAATGCTGATGGGATAATTCACTTTTATTTAAGAACAAAATAATGATTTTTGAAACTTCCTAATTTATTGGGGAAAAAAATAATGTCTTAACCTCACTTCTCCAGTGCCTACAGATACCTCAGTGCCTACAACTGCCCAGCCTGTTTTCTACCTGCACTCTGACAACAGCTGTTTCTTAGTCTACTTGCAAATTTGTTTCCTTTATTACTGGTGACATCCTTCCCTTTCTACACCCTTGAATTTGAATTGCCTGAAGCACTGGCTATGCCGGAGAGAGGTCAGCTCTCAAAGATCATCATCATTGGGCACTGGCAAGCTTTTCTTCTCAATTTGTTTTGGAATGTATTTGCAAAGGACTTAAAACAGTTTGATTAAATCGGTGCATGGCATCCTTTGTCTTGGAGCGAAGGCAACCTTGATTTTTAAGCTGTTTCTTGGTTTAATCTGCCACTTAATTACAGGACCACTGTTTTGTTCCTACTGTTTGCTGATTCCATTTTTAAGTCACCAGCTGCACAGCAGTGTTACCTTACACTGTTGACTTTTGTCTTCCCTTTCTTTTTTATTACTTGTCCACCAGCAGCGTTCCTCCGTACGTCTCCTTCTACTTGTAGAAGTGAAGCACAATTCATATAGAAGTACTTTTTTAAAAATGCGAAATGGAAATAAATGGGGACTCTGTGTCTGGGGAAACGTAACCCCATCTACCTCAGCCACTGACTCGAGCAGCGTCCAAAGGGATGTTCTGTGTTCAGAAGAACAGCCGTGTTCCTCCTCTCTTCTTTTAGGTGCCGCTCTAGGAAAACAGCTACACACGCATCGTGACTGCCTGCTAAGGAGGAGTACTTTCTCTTTCTTGTCCAATAACGGATGGCAGAGAGCAGCTGAATCTGTGTCTGCTCTGTACCTAAATAGCTGCTGTTTTCTGCTTCCCTTCTGTCTGTGGCTTCGGTCGGATGCTCTCCTTTTACACAGGTGGTTTAAGTTCACCGATGACCTTGATGTGCCATTACCAATAAATTGCATTCTCTCATTCTGGGCTGTGGATTTCTTTATTTGGCTAAAAACAGGTGAACTCGTAGAAGTGCCATCCTGCGTTGTTACGTAGCTGTAGAAATTGTCATGTGGTGATGGGTAAAGGCGTTCAGGGAACAGATTGAACTCAAAAGGGAGCACGGACTGAGGCCCCCACTAGCAGCTCTGCGAGGGCTGCCAGATACAGGTATGTTGAAGTTCCTCACTGCAAAGCAGGTGAGCTGTAGATCCATGTCTCCACAGAAAGAAATATGGGTTTTTTTCTTGTAAAATAATATGTAAAAAGCTTGTGCTTCCTGGTGATGCAATGTCTCTCCCGAGCAAAACTGTCCTGAGAGAGGATGTTGGTGGGATATGTAGCCTGGAGGAAGTGGTTTTATTGTTCCCCTTTCAGCGATAATACATCACTCACGTTCTTTGTTGGAATGAATTACTCATTATCTGCAAAACGTTTGCCTTCAGCTGTGACTCCTCTGCAAACAGGGGGCTAGAACCTGGGCAAATCTTTCTGATGGGACGCTAAATTGTCACCTTGAAGGTTAATAGCATTCTGGAGTGTGAATGGTGTCGAGCATGAGTGAAACTTCACTTTCTCTTCTTTTGCTGTATGGAAGTTGCTCTGTGAACCATTGAAACCATTGATAGTGGGATAGAGAACAGCGATTGCTGTGGTACTCCAGAGGAAGAGAAAAGATGAAAATTAGCTTTCAAAGTGACTGATGAGGGGAGGCGCAGCTGAAAGTGGTCTCTGCTGTGTATTCATGTGTGTTTCCAAAGGCAGCAGCTGACTATACTCTGAGGAGCATGTTGATGGTGGCCCTTTTTCCCGTAAGATGCCTGTGGCCCCCCGGCAGCGAGGCTGAGCTGAGCCACTGGGTGGGGTGTGCTGCTGGTGCCTCAGCGGGACGGGATCCTGGGGGAGTGCTGCTGCTTTAACCGCCTCCCATCCCAAAGAACAAAGCAGGAGGGAGCAGAAGGGCTGCTTCCCAAGAATCTCTCCATTCTTGACTTGGCACATAGAAGCCTGGTGCCATGGACTGAGCCACGTCTTGTACATCCAAAGTGTCTTCTCCTTCTGTACCCCTCGTCCCCTCTGGGGCACCCTCATCTGTAGCTCTCGCCTCTCCGAAACGGCCCCTTCTGCTCGCTCATTTGTCACCGCCTCAGTCTGGCTCTTGACTTCCCCTTGCAAGCTGAAAGTGACCACCAAACTCAACCTGAAACAAGAGACTCGAAACTAAAGACAAATGGTAAGTACGACAAAGCTCTTGCACATTCAACCTCAAGATGACTTAGCAGCTGCGTTTTTCTGATGCTCCCAATTAGTCATTGAAGAACCCTTCGTGCGAGAGACAAGTTGGCTGTCCCAAGCCACCCCAGGTGAGTGCTTTTTGCAATAATATTTATTTCTGTTTTGTTTTTTTTCTGAAAAGAGAACTAGGGCAACAAAGATGTGCTGAGGATTCAGGTACCATGTGCAAAAGCAGGAAAATGCCAAGACAGTACGGTATCTCTGTATTTTTTTCCCCCCAACCTGTTTAGTAAAGGCAATTATCCTGTGGAAGGATTTGGAAATGTCAGCACCGTAATCTACAGAGCAGCCTGGGTGAGTGGGCGCTGCCTGCAGCTGCTGCACCACAGCACCCACTCACTGCTGCCTGCTGCAGCGGGAGAGCCTGCAAAAATGCCTTCCCGGGCAGGGCCAGGAGCTCTTCTCAGAAATAAGGTACTAAATCCAGGGAGGATTCAATGGCAAATAAAGACCTGGAGCCTCAGCAGCTGAGAAACAGAGAGTGTTTGAAGTTCTGGCTGTGGATGTCCCAGCACGCAGCCTTCTGCGCGCCAAGGACTTTATTTTTAAGCTGGCTCCTATTTTGGGACCCGCACGGGGGTGGCCCTGGGAAGGCGCAGCTCTCAGTGCTGCAGCATTTGGCTGCAGCGTCGCGGGGAAGGGGGGTGCTTTGGGCCTGCTGCACCGAGGTGTGCTGCACCAGCCCGGGCGCTGGAGCCCGGCAGGAGTTGCGCTGTGTTTGTAGGTCACCCGTGCACAAAGTGTGTCACGGCAGAGCGGCAGACGGTGCAGCCAAAAAAACCGCACAGCTCTCCCCTCCACCTCCAACCACCCAACCCCCAGACGGGTCGTGGTTGCTTGAAAGGCAGATCTGAGGGGACTCCAGAAGGCTTGCTGCCGCCTCTCAGGATTGTGTCTGTGGAAAGGGGAAGGCAATGCTGGGCGGAGGTGGGTTTTACATCTCTGACTGCCGGCAATGCCACGCACGGACTTGGAAAGCCCTAGTGATGTTTCTCAGCCTAGAACAGACCCGTGGGGCCCCCAGCAGCTAATTCTGGGCCTGCAGTCCCTGTCTGAGCCTGTCCCAGCGTGTTTCTGAGCTTCCTTTGCTGAGAAAAAAAGTGCATTTGGAGAGAAACAGGAATTAGCAAACATGCCTGGCCCTGTAAAGAGGTGGAAGCTTTCTTAGGGGAGGCCTTCCCTGCTCCTTGTTTGTGCTCCTGCCGCTCCAGGGTGCGTGCAGGGTGCTGGCCCGTCCCCTCTCACCGCCCTGCTGCCCTTTGAGCCTGGCGTTATTGTCACCACGGGTTCTGCAAGGAGTGCTGGGGACGTCGGTGCTGCCCCAGCAACCCTGGGATCCCGGGAGCACAGATCTGTGACTGGCGCTCTCTGCTCCGCAGCGCTGAAGGGACCCCTGGATCTCTGAGAGCGATAGGAATAGTGGCAGATGTTTACCCTATGCATTTACTCCAACTCTTTTCATAGCTGTTTCTTGGGGAGAAATATCTGGCAGCTTTTCCCCTTCCGAGCCTTACTGAAGGTGGTCTAGAGATCCTCTGACTTGTACAATGGAGGAAAAATGAGAGGAGCCAGGAAGATTTCAGAGATGACTCGTCTCTTGTTGGTTTTTCTCTTTCAGCAGCACAAATGTACGTATTGGAAAACAAGTGCTGGTAATGGCAGCCTCAAATTCAACTGTGATGTGCAGGTTCTCCAAGCAGGAGGGTTTCTCCCCGTAACTTGTTGCCCTTAAATATCTTTATCAGTTTTGAACGAGCAAAGCTTTGAACCATGGGGCAGAGACAGAGCAAGAGGGTACTGGCTTTTGCTCTCCCGTGATCCATGCGTGAACGCTGGCTGGTGTGTTCCTGATCACAACAGCCAGTCCTTCCTCGGGCTGCAGGGTCTGTCTACAATGTGTAGAAAAGAGACACTGGCTTTCTTTTGAGAGGTGGTGCAGCAGGTCAAACTGAACACAGTGACCAACCTGGCACTGTCTGAACAGGCCCTGAAGGTTCCGGCAGAAGGTCTCACCATGTGCAGCTCCCTGGAGCAAGGGGGTTATTTCTAGAGTGAGGGGTCTGTGGTTTTTAGGACCAAACTTCTCCGAGGATGTAGTAGAAAAAACGTCCCATTGCTTTCTGGGCAGAGTTAACATCTATGAACGCCTCTGTTCAGATGCTGTAGACTCGACCCCCAAACCACCGGAAAGATTCAGTACTTGGGGGAAAATGCAGAGGTGCTGAGCCCTCCCCCCTGCCCTCTCTTCCTTTCCAGGGCTCAGAGCAGTCTCAAACCAGAGACACCGCTGAGGTCTGTGCTTCACTGACTGCCAGGCTCCTGGCTGGGATAGCGGCTAAAATCCAGACAGCAAAGACTCTGTCCCTCGCCGAAGGACTGAAGGAAGTCTTCTTCTGACCTTGGGGTTCAGTTTGGTTGCGAGCTGTTGTTGTCCTGCCCTGGGAAAAAACGGATTCACCCATCACCTCTGCTCTTCTTTCTAGAGTAAGATGAAGGTGTTGCTGAGCCTGACTCTGGTGCTGACATGGCTGGGTAAGCTGTAAGTCATTCTGGTGCTTTGAGTGCCCTTGCCTGCTTTCTTCTCCGCCTTTTGCCAAAAGATCCATTGTTTCTCTCTTCCTGTGGTGACAACTCCCCGGGGTTTTGCAGGCGAGGGGCTGGCAGCAGTAAGTGGGCTCCTGGGTACCAGTGACTTCTCTGGGTGCTGCATTTTCCCTTCCCGCAGAGCTCACGCATCTGTAGGCTTCAAATTGCAATGGCATCCCTGGATGGAATTCTGTACTTACTCTGCCAGACTCCAAGGCTTTGAAAGAACTAGAACTGCTTTGCCAAGTCTAAATACAGGGAAGGGTTTCCAAGGTATTGATTTTGGCTCTGCTCGAGGCTGGCTCTTGGTCTTCTCCGCTGGCAAATATTTGTCATTTTCAGCTCCACAGCTGGTCAAGACCCAAAGAAACCTGTTTGGGAAGCTGTAGTGCTTTGCATTTATTATTTACAGAGCATCAGGCAAGTACTTGGTGCTTGGCCAGGGCCCAGCCCTTGGTGGCTTGTGGACAGAGTGAGCAGAGTGGCTAAGCCACCAGGAAAAGTCGACCTGTCTGAGCAGCTCCCCGCTGAATCGGCTCACCCAGTTCTTGACAAACAACTACCAGAGCCTCATCCGCTCTTCTCATTGCCCATGCGGACTGTGGGGTGCGCAGGGTTTCTCTCGATGAGCCCCAGCGACGTTTTTTGCCCTCCTTGTTTCCCCTTCCTGCCATATGCTTTGCAGCCCGCCGTGTCAGCAGCTGCTCCGTGCTGGTTGTGTCAGCTCTGTGCTCTTTGATGTTCCTCTGCTTTGTTTTGGTTTTCTTACCCACTGTCCAGCTTGTCTAGAAACCTTAAGCACTAGTTATGTGGCCAGACAAGCCCAAGCCCAGGTCAGGAGCCCAGTGAGCAAGGGGTAAGGAAGCCAAATGGGCAGGTTGTGGAAGAGGAACTGAAATTCAAGTGAAGTGGTTGAGTTGCCCCTGGCCTGGCGCAGATGAGAGTGGCGCTGGTTCTCCCAGCTGGTGACTCACGGGACCAACCCCGCTGGAGCTGCAGCCCTCGGCTCGCAGACGCGCAGGGCTGGGGTTGTGCTTCCCCACTTCCCTTCTGCGTTGGCTGGTTCAGCGAGCGCCGCAGCCCTTGGTCTGGCGGCCAGGAGGATGTGCTGCCCCGCATCCCAGGCACGCCAAAAGCAGGGCTCAGGGAGAGGCTTTGCCTGCACAGGGAGCAGGGCTTCCCCGTTGCGCTCTGGACTGGTCAGTGGCGTTAGCCCCAGGCTTCTCTGGAGAGGAGATATCAATGGGGACAGGCAGCCTGCATCTGGCCATCCTCCCTGGACTCATCCTGCTGTCCTTGTCCCTGGCAGAGCGAGGCAGCGGGTTGGCTGGCTGGGTGCTCATGGAGCCTCAGCTGCGAGCCAGCGCTGGGGACTCTGTCCTGCTGCAGTGCCTCTTCCTAGACCCGGTGGCCAAGGGCTTGGTGGACAAGGTGGACTGGCTGCGCATGGCGGGACCCGACACGCAGAAGGTGGGTCGGGACCGGGGGGTGGGCGGTGGAGCAGGGCAGGGGAGGGTGAGCCAGGCAGCCTTGCTGCTCTCGGGAGGCTGTGGGGAAGCCCGTGTGCCTGGCCTAGGCCACAAGAGGCGGGAGGTTCCCCTGTGCGGTGGCGGGGCATCTCCATCGCTCCCCGTGGCCCTGCACCGCAGGGGAAGCACAGCGCGGGCTGCTGCCTCCTGGGGCTTTCCGAGAGCGTGGGAGTGAGCTGGGCTCCCGTGTGCAGAGGAGGGAGAGGGAGACAGCGTGGATCTGAGGGCTCTTGAGCAGTGCCCTTCTACTGGGCTCCGTTCACCTGATGCTGTCTCTGCCCTGGCAGGAGGAGATGGTGTTTTATTACTACAGCAACCGTAGCGTCCCCGTGGGCCGTTTCCGGGGCCGGGCACAGTGGCAAGGGGACATCTCCCGCTGGGATGGCTCCATTCGGCTGCAGAATGTACAGGTGGACGACAGCGGCAAGTACGTGTGCGAGATCCGGCTGTTCGAGAACAGCAGCATCTTCAAGAACTATACGGTGCTGCACGTCAGCCCCATGGGACAGAGAGGTAGGTGCCCTGGGACTGCTCCCATCTCCGTTCAGCCCCACGCAGAAGGGCTGCAGAGGCCCCGGGCGGCTCTTGGACCTGCCACCACAGTGCTTCTGCAGTAGGGCCAGGGTCCCTGTGTGTGCCATCCCCCGCATTCGTGTCTCCCCAGCAGAACGAGGAGCAGCACACACCCAGGATGCTGCTGCCCCCGGAGACCCTTGGTTTTGGCCTATCATCGTAGGGTGTTGCTGCGTGGCTGTTGTGCTGGCTTTCCTGGCTGGACTCTGCCTGAGGAAGAGGTACCAGTGCTAGCTGTGGGTTCGTGGGGCACCTCCTTCCATCCTTCCTGCACTCTTCTCCCTGGCCAAGTGTTAGCCTGACCTGCCCCGAGCAGGGCTGGAGCTGCAGAAACCAGAGGGTTCCTCACCCCGGGGTAACGCCGCTGCCCGCACTGGGGTGCAGGCTTCTGTTGCCCTCTAGTGTCACACTGCCCTGGATGGTCCCCTCTCTGCCCCAAAAACCTCCTGGGCTCCCGGAGTGCCAGCAGCAGGGCTGGCCTGGCTGAGGCACGTGAAAAGGGGATCCCAGTGATGCTTCTTGCTGGAGATGACGCTGTTGTTGCCTGCCTTCAAGGTCTGCAGCCAACACGGCCCTGGAGAGGATTGGAAATGGCGGCAGCAAGAACAAAGCAGAGGTGAGAGCTGAGGCTGAGCTGCGCGGAGGGGAGGGTGTCCCTGCCCTGCCCTGGGACACTGGAGAGAGGGAGAAGAGGGGGAGAAGGGGAGGGATAGGGCGTGCAGGGCTGCAGGGCAGATGCCGAGCGTGCCCGCCCGTGCACACACCGAGCCGTGCCCTCGCTTCGCCACCCGCCCCCAGCGAGGGACGTGGCACACGCGGGAGAGCTGTGGGCTCCTTGCCATGCTGCCGGCTGTGTGCGTGGGTGGTGGTTGGGATGAGCCCGAGGTCCTGCCGTGTCCTTTGGTTTGCAGTTAAGAGGAGGTGCTGGTGGAGCAAACGCTCCTGCAGCCACCAGATCCTCGGGAGCAGAGAGGATTGTCGGGGGGAGATGGGGTCCTGGGCCAGGCTTGTCTTCACACAGGATGGTTGCTGTCTCATCACTAGCTGAGGCTGTACGTCCTGGGGACAGAGGGGTCACTGACATGAGGTGTACGGGGTGTAGGACTGGGGATGCTGAGGGCGGGGATCCCACACTGGCCAAGCATGAGGTGCTGTTTGCTGGCCAACCACGGCTGTGGCTCTTGGTGCTAGTCCTGTTACTGGGGTAAGAAAGCCCTCGTGTATTTGGGGGCTGCTCGGTTCCAAGTATCCCGATCTCCCTCTCACAGGAAGCACTCTACTCCTCAATCCCTGGAGCTGAGCTACCCAAGGCCGAGCAGGATGCAGGGAAGAAGAAGAGAGCCGAGGAGACCTACGTGACCATGGTGAGGAGGCGAGCGGTCACCCTGAGCTGTGGCAGGGGTGGGCAGGGTGGGCAGCTGTAGGGCTGCTGTCACCCCCCTACATCACCAGCCCCCCCGGGATGATGGCATCCAGGGCCTGACCCCTCACTCCCCACGCCAGACAGCAGCATCCCTTTCCCCCTGCCCACTCCAACTCCGATACCTGTGGCGAGACTCACGCCCTGTCCCTTCCTCTTTGCAGCGCTCCTCGCCCTTCCAGGAGAACGGCGTCTACGTGGAGCTGGCCAAGAGGGTGATCCCAACAGAATGGATGGGAGAGGGGAGACAGGGGGGCGGACAAAGGCAGGAACCCTACAGCCTACTAGACGTGGCACTTCCCTGGGCTCCAGAGGGGAGGAAACAGGGGGATGTGAGCCCCTGAGCCTGTAGGTGTGTGCAAGACAGCTTTGTTCCTCGGGGCAGGCCAGGGTTGTGCTGCCGTCAGCCTGTCCTTTAAGAAGCGGTGTCTCTTCGCTGTGTGCTCCATGCCAGAGCCACTGCTGCCGCATGTCCCACGCCGCTGTCTGCCGGGACAAAGACGTGTCTCCCTGGCTCTTGTTCCCTGCTCTCTGGAGGGGGACACAGCCCCCACGCTCTAGCTTTCATCCTGGCCCGTGCAGCTCCAGGTCCCAAGAGAAGGATCTCCAAGGAGAGCCTGGCAGGGGGACCAAGGGGGAGATGCAGCGGGAGCCGTGCAGAACGTGCCAATGGTATCTTCTGAGATAATAAAACTCAGGGAGCCTAGCCTGTTCCTGGCTTCCTTTTGCCTCCTGCTTAAGCGTGTGATGTCCAAGTGTGCCAAAAACTGCCTGGCCCAGGGCCTGGGAACCCTTGCACCCACGTGCAGCCTCGCACGTGGCACCCACACCTGCCCTGCTGGCTCTGGGGAGCAGTGGAGCCAAAAGGGCCATAAAGGGGGGGCCGGTCCCTTTGCAGCAGGAAGGGACCTGCCTGGGCTGCACCGAGCCCCCCCTGTGGCCCCGGCTCTGCAGGGGATGGTGGGGAGCGGGGTCCCACGTGCGTGTGCTCACACGTGTCTCCCCTGCACCAGCCGCATCCCACGGGTGGGCATCTCTGCGTGTACCCTGTATCTGGGACAGGCTGCCGTGGCCGGGGAGCCGGGGGGGAGTCCAGCAACCCCCCTCCCGGGCCTCCGGGGCAGCATTTCGGGGCGTTCTGGCTCTTTTCCGGCACTATATATAGATGTTTGACACCTGCAGGTGCAGCGGGGAGCCTGGGGACCACCTCCCACCCGCCTGGGCTGGATGGGAGACTGCAGCGCAGCCGGCTCCCGCTGCACTCCTTGGTTTCACGTTGACACCCTACTCACTTTTCCTGGATGAAGTCAAGTAATGGGATTGCAGGGGGAAACGGCGCTCGGAGCCGGTTCTGGGGTGTCGGGAGGGGAGGGAGAGGGGTTACTCCCCACCTCTGCTGCCTTTGCGGGGTCGTGGGACCTGTTCCAGCAGGGCAGCGGGGGCTCTGCCTGCCTGGCGTGGGTGGGAAGCTGTGCTGTGTGTGCAGTCTGAGCGCGTTTCCTGTACTCACTCTGTCTCTTCTCTGATGCCTGCTCTCCTGGCTGCCCCTTTCCCCTCCTGAAGCTGGTCAGGTAGCTGAGCACCTCTGCATCCCTCCTGCCTCCCCCTTGCCCTGTCCCTTCCTCCCTAGGGCACGGGAACTGAGCTGTGCTCCAGCTCCAGGGCACCCCTCGCCTTGCTCCCGACTGATGCTGTGGCAGCACCCCCTCCATCCTGCATCCTGGGGCACAAGAACTGTGGGGCTGAGCAGCTGCTGTCACCGGCTCTCTGGTCTCTGAGGTGACATGTTGTCTCCTTCCTGAACCCATCTCTGCAGCCTGAATCCGGGCTTGGAGTCCATGGCCCAAAGGCTTCCTTGGCCCATGGTGCAAAGGGGCCCGAAGACCTTCTCTAGCCCTGTTACTGCTGGGCAGAGCGTCCCCATCCCAAGGGCTGGATGAGGAGAGGGTGCTGCCTTGGGACAGTGTGCTGCTGGGGAAGGTGCCAGCAGAGTCCAGGACTCCTGGGACACAAGGGGGCTGCCCTTACATCAGCGTGGGAGTGGGCAGGTGCTCCGGGAGCGCTTCTACCCACTGCAGGCTGCCTGCCCCTGGCCATGCCTCCACCGGGGCACGCTGTGCAGGCTGCCTCCTCGGGACCCCCTCTGCTCTTCCTTGGCCACATCAGCCCCTCTGCTCTCTACCTGGCTTCGGGAGGGCATTTCGGATGTTCCTGGGGCCCTACTGGGCTCTGGAGAAGGGGAACTGCTGCTGTGAATGGGGCGAGCGGGGCTGGCTGCCAGCCTCCAGCGGGGCAGAGGGGACGCATCGGCATGGCCCCACTGAAACCAGGGGGCTGCAGGGGCCCAGGGGGAGGGCTGAGTCCCTTAGATCCTGGCCTCCCATGGGGAAGAGGAGCCCTGGGTGCTGCTTGCTCCCAGGGTGAGTTTGCCCGGCCAGAGGGACTCCCGGCAGGAACCTGCTCCAGGGCTGCCCTGGGCTCCGCACGCTGCAGGAGACGGTGGGTGACAACAGCCCATGACCAGACCTCGGAGCCAGAGCGCCGGGAGCCTTCGCCTCCTGTTCAGGGGAAAATTTTTCTGCCCTCCCACTTCTTCTGCAGAAATCCACCAACCATAGCATTTACAGGTTTTTTTTCAATCCAGCCCGGCTCCAGCCAGCCATATTGGGCTGTGGAAATAAGGCAGCTCTAATGTTATATGTCACCTGCAAATAACCCGGGCGTTCGAAAAAAGCAAACCACCACCACCAAAATCCACACCAACACCAGGTCCTCTCCACACACAAAAAATCCTTCAAAATGAGCCCGGAAGCTTGGCTCCCGCAGCCCACCTTGTTCCTCACTGGCCTCAGCTTGCTCCTCTCGCTGGGTAAGTGTCGACTCCGACCCCCTTGCATGCACACGGCTGCCAGGGGAGAGCACCCAGGCTGGGGAGAAACACCCTCTCTGGCCAGGAGCCCCCTCCCCACGTCCCAGCCCCGAGAAGCCCCTCCTGTCCCCGGGGACGCAGCCGGAGATGCTGTGCCGCAGGGTCGGGGACGGAGGTGGTCAGAGATGCACCTTCCCCAAAACCACCAGGGTGACCTGCTTTTAGGCAGGATGGGGGGGTGGGGGGGGTGTATGTTGCAACTGCAAAAAAAAAAAAAAAAAAAGGAAAAATGCCACGCATCCTGCTTGCTGGAGGTTCCCGCTAGGAGCTAGGAGCGCGGCTGTTTGCATGGCTGTGGGCTGCGGTGGGGGCTTTGCCTTGCTG